GAGTTTTCTTTGAATCAAAATGCATCATGGTGAAAAAGTGGTGCAAAGTTGAGAAAAAACAAGAAAATATTTATACTTAGAAAAATTCTATGTTATGAAAATTTTCAAATTAAAACCCTAATTTTCAAATTTAGTTTTCTTGGTCAACAAGTTTCACATTTTGACATATATTAATGAATTATGACCCTTGGCACTTGATTTTGGACAAAAAGTCAAAGTTTGACTTTTTAGTGTACAGTTGACTTTTGATCAGTTGACTGCAAATTTCATTTGTCACTCCAATGAACTTGAGATCTTTTAAACCATGTAATTAAGTCAAGATGATACCATTGAATATTTGAAATCATGCTTGAACTCAATTGGTCAATTGCTAGGTTAAAAATCAGAAATTGCCCTTCCTTAGTCAAAACCCTAATTTTGACCATTTTGCCCTTTTGATGATTTGATCAAATCTCTTGAGGTGTTGTGATCCAAACTCGATCAAATGGTACATATGAGTATAAAATGTTGATGTGGATCAAAAATTATGAAGTTTGACTATAAATTGGCCATGGTTGACTTTTTCCCCAATACAGCTGATTTTTAGGTCAACTGTCCAATTGACTGATCCAAAATGTGGTTCAAGGCTTGAAACTTATCATGAGCAATCTTAGGGGTCCAAAATGATGTATGAAAGTCAAATGAAGCATTGGTGATCCAAAAATCCTTGTGCAAACTCAAACCCTAATTTTGGGTTATCAGTGCAAGATGAGATGTCTTGAGCTGACCAAACCCTAATCTTGTCTTGAGTCAAAGAAGTCTTGTGAGAAAAATTTTGATAAATGAGAGGAAAAATTTTGGGGTACAACAGGTTAAATGCCAAGTTTGCCATAAATTTAAACATGATACTCTCATTTTCTATCAAAGGTACTCCAACTTGTTTCAATTTATAATACCTCCATTTGATCCTCTAATTATGGTTGCAAGACCTTCGTATCCATCATCTTTTGCTTGTATTGCTCTTAGACCACCACCACCAAGATAACAATAATATCCTCAAACATTTCTTAATGGATCATATCCTAATTTCAATAATCACTGGTGGTATCCTAATTCAGGTGCATCTCACCTTATTACTCTTAATGCTCCAAACTTGTCTGGCTATTTCTCTGCCTGGATCATACCAAGTGTTTATGGGGAACGATCAAGATTTTAATATTAACTTTGTAGGTTCCATGCATATCACTTTACCTAATCACCCTAACACATCTCTCACCTTACACAATTTGCTTATTGTACCTCACATCACTAAAAACCAAACCGGTGTTAATAAATTTGCACAAGATAATCATGTATTATTTAAGTTTCATCTATTTATCGTCTTGTCAAATCACATGTTTTTTTTGAAGTCCTACTTCGTGTTATTGTTGGAGATGATGGACTTTACAATTTTTCCAATCCTACCTTACCTTTTATCAAGTCTTTATCTAGTTTCAGCTCTCCTGCAACTTCCATTTCCTTTCCTTGTAATTTCAATTATGCTCTTACTTGTAAATCAAACTATGTTTCTACATGTGATTGCATTCCCCTATGTAAACATGAACTTAATGCCATTGTTTTACTTTGCATTTTTGCACATGTTACAAATATTTATATTGTTGGTTTAACTAGCCCATATTAGTGATATAATGCAATTACTTCTATGTCTAATTATAAATATTATTTGTGGCACACATGCTTAGGTCACCCCATCATAATGGTTTTGCAAAAGTTCTAAAACTTTGCAATGTTCTCATTCCTCACAATCCACCTAAGGAACTATGTTATGCATGTTATTTAGGAAAGTCCCATAGACTCCTAACTTTTAACTCTATAATTGTGCACCATCAACCCTTTGAATTGGTAGTTTGTGACATTTTGGGTCCAGCTCCAATCCTCTAGCGGTTACACATATTTTTTTATCCATGTTAATGTTTTTTCCATTGTGTGGGTATTTCCTCTTAGGTTTAAATATAATACTCTTACTCAGTTTATTCATTTTAAGTCTATGGTTGAACTCCAATTTAATTGAAAAATTAAGATTGTCCAAAGTGATGGTGAATGTGAGTTTTGGTCTTTCACTAAATATCTCTCTATGTTTCACCTCTCCTCATACCCATCATCAAAATGGGATTGTTGAACGAAAATATCATCACATAGTAGAAACAGGTCTAAGTTTGCCATCTCTGACTAAATTTCCTCTCAAATGCTAGGATCGTGCCTTTATCGCTACAACTTACCTTATTAATCGTCTTCCTACTTCCACCTTACAAAATCAGTCTCCCTACTCTATTCTTATGAACAAAACTCTTGATTACACTGTTTTCTTAGAGTGTTTGGTTATGTGTGTTTCCCTTTTATTAGACCTTATAACACAAATAAACTGACATTTAGATTCCATGAGTGTATTTTTTTTAGGATACTCTACTGCTCATATAGGATATAAATGTCTTGCATTTGAAGGCCACATTTATGTCTCCAAAGATGTCATATTTCATGAATCTAAACTCCCTTACACAGAGTTATTTCCTACCTCTGAACCAGCCAAGTTTAGCTCTTTTACTTCTAGAGCCTAGTTTATGCCAGTAGTGTCTTCTACACCTTTACATATTCATTATTTTAGTCTTGCTCCAACAACTCCAACCATAATTCATTCCTCAGCTAACCTAACAATAATATCAAAGCACACATTTCTACACCTAGCCCTCTTACCCATTTAACCACTTCTCAAACCAATTATACTTCTTTTTCCAATTCTGACTGTAACAGTCATTCTTTACCTATTTCACTTGCTTTTACTCTCTCGCCATTTTTCTTGTCTTGTGATAGTGTTGAAGCTAGAACTTTCTCTCCCTCATCATCTCCTAACATCAACCTCCCTACTACACATATACCTGTCCCTCCCACTCAACCTCAGTCTAGGGTGAATTCTCTAAATACTCATGTCATGCAAACTAGGTCCAAGTGTGGTATTGTTCAACCTAGACTACATCATACTCTCCTTCTCACCTAAATGGAACCTACTGTAATAAGTCAAGCCTTGGATGAACCTAATTGGTTTCACGTAGTGAAAGATGATATCATGCTCTTTTGAAAAATCAGACTTGAACACTTGTGTCCCCATCTGCCACTAAAAAGCTCATTGGTTGCAAACAGGTCTTTAAAGTCAAGGAGAATCCATATGACTCAATTAATAAGTACAAGGTCAAGCTTGTTGCAATGGGATTTCATCAGAAGGCTGAAAGTGATTTTACAAAAATGTTTTCCCCTATTGTGAAGCATGTGAGTGTCAGAATTTTTTCTTACTCCAGTAGTCACTAACATGTGGACCCTCAATGGCATTCTTGAGGAAAAATTTTATACACAACAACATTTTGGATTTGAGGCAGGTGATAAGTCCTTGTTTGCAAGCTAAACAAGGCACTTTATGAGCATAAGAAGTCTCCTAGGGCCTAGTTACAGGCTAAAAGGTTATCTATTGCAGTTTGGTTTGCAGGCCAACTTGTGATTCAATCCTATTCATGCTTCACCCATACACTCTATCTATCATGATATTTGTTGAAGTTGATGATATTATCATCATTGGAAATTCTCCATCATTGATTCACAATCTCATCAAAGATCTCAATCCAAAGTTTGCACTCAAAGAGCAGTAATCTCGATTATTTTGTAGACATTGAAGTCACACGCCTATCTAATGGCTCTTTGCTTTTGTTCAACGTTCATGATTTATTAGCCAAGGTAAATATGTTATATGCCAAAGGGATGGCCACACCAATGATATCCAATAGCAAACTCTTCAAGATTGGGTATGGTATTGTCCTTGATCCTATACAATTCAAGAAGTTTTCTTTTTGTTTTCCTAGTTCTAACTAACTTTATACCGCTTTAAAGTTAGTTACATATGTCGCATATAAAAGGAGACCTTTGTATTCATTGATTGATTGAGAAATACAATATGAATCATGATCCATTAACACTAGATATAAGTCTAAAATACTTGAATTAAATTTCAATAGTTAAAAGAATTAATTAAACTGTCATATTAAATAACATAAAATAAATAAAATATATATATATATGATCCATTCTTTGCCTTAAAAAATAGACTATTTATATATTTTAGACATAAATATTGAAATTATTAGAAGAATTAGTTTCTTATTTTACACCAGAAGAATCTATCTAGAAAAGCACAGCCTTTTCATACATAATGCATAGCACGGAAGTTATACATATACATGGTAATTAGAAACAAACCTCCAAAAGGATTTTGAGCTGTAATTAATTATAATAGCAATGTTTATTCACTTAGTTGTACATTACCAACCATTAGCATCAATTACAAGAATGATGTGACTACAAGAAATCAGCAACTTCCAGTTGCAAATTGCAAATTTTTTAAGTCCAAAAAATAGCTTACCAAATAGCTTTCAAAATGGTAATATTTCATGATACAATTAAATATATAAATTCAAATAAACTATCACACTGTACAGGTGAACAGAGTCATCTCGTTATAACTCAGACTTCAAAAAAAAACTAACTTGTGTTTAAAATGAAAAAAGATTGCACATGCAAATACAATAACAGCCACATGAAACAAATATGCCTTATACATGGAGTCGCTAATTGCACCCATGTATAAGACTCGCAAACCACCAAAATGAGAAAGACAAAACAAAACCTTAGGCAGGTTTGACAAAAACAATGATAGGGGCTATATCTATGATCGCCATTTGTCACGTACCTTGCGACATGGCATAATAAAACACCTCGCGTTGACGAAACTTGAAGGGTAAAAATGAATTAACCCAGGCAACTCACCAATATTAGAAGCCTAAGTTGGTGAAAATAATCTACTATACACATGCGAGGACGATAAAATTATATGCACAGCTTGGCATCGGCATCATTGTGCAGTGCCCGGGGATACCCGCAAGATGGAGCAATAGAGGCAACAATCAAAAATCATTTGTGTATTACTCTGAGCGAGCTAGTAAGAACCCGAACCCTGAGTTCTCACGTATCAACGGAGGAGGATCCACATCAGCAACTTCTACTTGTTGCATGGATTTGGAGATGTCGTCCACTGAAAATGGAATGCTGCATCCATATCAAAAGGTTAAAGAAAAATACTACAGCAACGTCAAAGACAATATTAAACTGTATCTTGAAGTGATACTGTACCTTGAGTCATCATCTAATAGGAAAGAAGTACTGACAGCATTATTAGAATCCTCCGCAACCATAGCTCTCATGGTTGTTGTAACCTGCATAATCCATAGAATTATCAGTAACTTTGTTTTGAGATTTATCACATCGCAGGCGTTCCCAATTGTACAAAAGATGCGCAATTAAACCGGAGAAATATTACAAAGAGATTAATGCTAACATACATCCGTAGAGACACTGTGAGTGCCGTATTTGTCATCCCAGTACATTGTACTTATTCTATATAACTGCTGTATACTGAGACCCTGCAACACCGAAATATTTGACTTAGTAATAGAATCAGAGCAAATTTTAAGCTCATGAATAATAGTTAATAGGAAGAGAGAAAGCACTCACAGGACAAAGCTCCTTAGTTATTTCATTCAGGGACTTCTTGGGCTTTTGATGTATCACCTGAAACAGACAAATGAGAGTTGGTCATTAACGCAATAAACATCAATATTGAATTGAATTTGAATATGTATCCCAACTGAACGTTACCAGGAATCCAACTGCCTGCCTGATATGTTTCAGTTCCTCCCACGCCGAGCCAGTGTACTGTACACAATAGATTGAAGTTAAGATCATAAAATGGAAAAGTAAACAATCAGGATTAGTTGCTTGGTGCTAACCTCTTCTGTTGCCTCGACGCACCAATGTTCTAATTCGGCCAAACCTGTCTTCACATACTCCCCGTTGCTGAATGAACAACACTCGCGACGCAGCAGAAGACTGCAATCAATGACATTAGGTTGCTGAATTATAATATTAATGTATTATTTCCTTTTCTTATTATTTTAACTTTATGTTTATTTTATTTTCCTTATATCTCTCCTGTAATTAAGGAGTTGATTGATTGTATTTTCTCCTATAAAAGGAGCCCTTTTATTCATAATATACAACAATATTATTCTCTACATAAGTCCATAAAAAATTCTGCATGCTACAATATGACGTGCAATGCGAAGTGGGAGAACGAGATTACCTGTTGAATAATTGAACATCGATGAATGAGAATATTTGAGTAAACACTTTACGGACCAAGAAAGGAGGCGCCTGTTAAACCAGATTTCTAACAGGTTAAGATCAAACTCAGGCAATGGAAATGCGGAAACTGAAAGGGAAACTCACATAGTTTGCTTTCATTATCTTTAGCGAGTTGTTCAAGCTTTTCACAATACTTTGCCAGTGAGCTATTAAAGCTTGCTGAGCAACCGCATTAGCATGTGAGCGTCCTTTTATTAAACCTTGGCGGGAGGTCCTTGGAGCCTGCAGTTGTTTTATTATAAAGATAAAATAAACAAATATAAACAACCAGAGAATTAAGCTTATCAGTTACTGGAGCCTAACCCTAGTGGCTGCTACATATAGAAAATAAGTGAAAGAATATGCACAAGTACCAGCTACTGATTTATTGATTACTTGAAAAAAATTTGATTGTCATTTTTCCGGAAAAATAAATGTAAGATGTTTTTTTACCTGTATACACAGTCCAAGTAATGGGGATATCTCCTTTTTCAGGTTGTCTCGTATCATTCCATATAACTTCTCAAGGAAGGCAGTAAGCTGTTGCTTAAACAGAAGTGCCGGATATTTTGCTTCTACTTGTCGTAAACCATCAAGTCTACTAAGACTTCTTCCATTTATAAATGGCAATCCAGCACTTTGAGGAGATGCCCTTAGCCCCTAAAATCACAAAAGATAATCAAAATCGAAGTACAAGAATATAAATGAAACCTACATAAAGTGACCAAATTCATTCAGAAAGGATAAGCAATTGCTTCTTACTTGAGACATCCTTCCAAACAGAGAAGATGATGCTGTTCTCCGCCGCTGGGGTGTTAAGCTAGCAGCTCCACTTGCTTTGAGGGTGCGTTGGAGCAGCATCAATAAAGTAGATGTATTAGACAACCAATAGGCTAATACATCGGTATTATCCTGGGCCTACAATGGTGCAGAATAGCGTTAGTAACATATTTTTGGCATGTCAAAAATTGATGAATTGCAAAAGCACTGTATCGTGAATATTATACAAGTAATCCAAAAATGTTAAGTTACCTCAACAGCTGAAGCTATTGTTTGAATGATACGGTCAAAGACAGTTGTTCTTTCAACTTCAAATGACCTCCAGTGTAGAAGGCATTTATATATGACGCATGCAGCAACAGGTTTGCCACCAGAAAATCCCAAATCTTGTGATATGCACTTGATCAACAAGTCCTGGTTTTCCTGAACCAGAAGAAAGTGAAATTTTAAAATAGGAATGAACAAGAAAATGATGGAAAATATATTTAAATTGAAAATGCTACTTAAAGCATGTATCACAGATTCATTCTTAAGTGTGTCTATGTAGCCACTCACTTGTTGTTTCTCATTCAAAGATTTCTGCGGTTTTCCTTCAGATTCAGGCTCACGCACATTGGATAGAGCAAGAGTCATATCCTAAGATATACGGAAGGTAAGGATTTAACAGATTAAACAAAATGTCTCATTACCAAAATGAATTATTGATATATATTCATAAAAAAATAATAGTGTCCTCCCTCTTACTTGTCCAGGTTTTACATCCCCATTTAGAGCATTCCCATTTTCTGGTGTCCTCTGCAAATCATTCACAAAATCTCGTTGAGTCCATCTTCATATACATAATTTTGAGCAATGATCATATGTATGTTTTCTTACCTGAATAATTACTGTCTTAGGTCTGGAAGTAAGAGCTTTTGCGGTTGGTGATACAGCCAATGCTTGTTGCCGAAGAACTTGATTTTCTGACTCTGAATTGGCAATTTTTTCCTCCAATCTGCATTGTATATAGTTGTTTTAAAAGATTAATTCATTTATATTAACGAAGTTATATGTGGTTATTAGTGGGGAGAGGAGGAACATAAAACTATATTACACATCCAAAGCCACACAAAAAATTTCGTGTGTGAACAAATGGTTGAAATTGAAAGGAAAAATGTTGTACCTCTCTATTAGAGTGAGATATGAGAGAGAAGAGAGAAAAAGTTAAAAGAGAAAAGAGAGAAACAGATTCTGTTATTGCTTAATTGGAAAGGAGCATTATGCTCTATTTATACAAGAGGAGATGAACATTCAAGAGTTGAATCATTCAAGCTCTACAATTAAGGAAGACTTTTCTTATTCTATTAAATTAAGGCTGGACTTAATTATTCTATAGTGCTGATTATTCATATTCTAAGATATAACTCTAATACTCCCCCACAAGCTCAAGGTGGCTGCAAAGGCTGACTTGAGGCAGACAGGTTGAGCTTGCTGCTGAGCTCCATAAATCTTGAACATGAGAGAGGCTTGGTGAGGATGTCAGCCTTCTGGTCAACACCAGGAATGTGGCAGACAGTGAGAGACTTATTAATCACCTTTTCTCTTACAAAAAAGAGGTCAATTTCCATATGCTTTGTTCTTGCATGAAGAACAGGGTTATGAGCCATAGCAACTGTGCTCTGGTTGTCACAATAGATGGTTGGAGTTGTCAAGGGAATTTTTAGTTCAGCTAGCAAAGTTTGAACCCATAAAACTTCAGTTGTGGTGTGAGCCAAGCTGCGATACTCTGCCTCAGCACTAGAACGAGCAACAACAGTTTGCTTTTTGGACCACCAAGAGATCAAATTAGGGCCTAAGTACACAGCTGACCCAGAGGTGGATCTTCTATCATCTGGGTCAGCAGCCCAGTCAGCATCACAATAGGCTTGCAGAGAGAACGGAACAGTGGAGGCTGGAGTGAACAATAAACCAGAGGTGATAGTTCCTTTTAGGTAGCGCAGAATACGCTTGACAGCTAGCCAATGGGACTCCAAGGGGTGTGCCATGAATTGACATACTTTGTTAACAGCATAGCAGATTTCTGGCCGTGTAATTGTTGCATACTGCAGGGCCCCTACAATGGACCGGTAGTGGAAGGCAGCAGACCCTGTTTTGATGAGTTTGGTGGAGGAAGCCATAGGAGTAGCAACTGGATTGGAATTCTCCATATCAGTTTTGATTAGCAAGTCCCTTAGGTACTTAGATTGAGTGAGAAGGAGATTTCCATTGGACAATTTCTTCACCTCAAGGCCCAGAAAATAATCCAAGTCACCAAGTTGTTTGAGAGCAAACACATGATTTAATTGTTGAGTAACTTGCTTGATGAGAGGAGGGGAGTTTCCTGTGATGATTATATCATCAACATAAACCAGCATATAAATGACAGCATTGTGATGCTTGTAGATGAAAAGTGAAGTATCACACTTGCTGTTTAGAAAGCCAAAGGATAAAAGAGTGGTTTTGAGTCTTTCAAACCATTGCCTCGGGGCTTGTTTTAGGCCATACAAGGCCTTGTGCAAGTGACAAACCAGAGATGAATTAGGGGCAGTAAATCCAGGGGGTTGCATCATATAGACCTCCTCTTCAAGAATGCCATTCAAAAAGGCATTGTTTATGTCCAACTGCTGCAAAGGCCAATTGTAAGTTAGAGCAAGAGTCAAAATAATTCTAATTGTGACCGGTTTAATAACAGGGGAGAAAGTTTCATTAAAGTCAAATCCATGGACTTGATGGAACCCCTTAGCAACAAGCCTAGCTTTGTACTTATTTACTGTCCCATCAGCATTTTCCTTTACACGAAAAACCCACTTGCAGCCTATTGCTTTCCTGTTAGCAGGCAGTGGTACCAAAGACCAAGTGTTGTTCCTTATCAAGGCACCATACTCCTCTTGCATAGCAGCAAACCACTTAGGATCTTGGAGAGCAGTTTTAACACTCTTAGGCTCAGAATTGACAAGAAAAATGGAAGGATTTAGACGAGGTAAGGGTACACCAGATTTAGTTCTAGTAGTCATAGGATGAGTATTGGTGGGGAGAGGCTGAAGGTTAGGATCCCTAGGAGCATAAATAGAGGAGGAGGATAGTGAAGTGGTAGTAGTAGGCTGATTGTTGGCATTTGAAGAGGGTGAAGGAGTAGGATTAGTGCTGGCTGTTTGTGTTATAGGGGTTGCTGACCCAGAGGCAGTAGGTGTGGGGCTGGAATTGGATTGGGAAGAAGAAGAGGAGTGTGAGACAATAGGTGTGGGGCTGGAATTGGATTGAGAAGAAGAAGAGGAGTGTGAGACAATAGGTGTGGGGCTGGAATTGGATTGAGAAGAAGAAGAGGAGTGTGAGGTAGTGGAAGCAGTAGGAACGGGAAAAACATGAGGGAGAGCTTGTGTGTTAAGGGTTACTTTAGATGAGGAGGAGGATGGAATGGTTGATGAGGGGAGAGAAACATTAGAGGAAAAAAGATCATTGTAAGGAAATTTGGACTCGTTGAAAAGAACATCTTTAGAGATGAATATTCTACCACTTGGAGAGAGACATTTGTAACCTTTGTGAGCTGTAGAGTACCCTAGAAAAAGGCACTCGTGGGATCTAAAGTCAAATTTTTGAGAGTTGTATGGGCGAAGGAGAGGAAAACAAGCACACCCAAAGACTTTAAGGAATTTATAGTCAGGATTTTGATTGAAAAGGACAGCATATGGTATATGTTGATTGAGAGACATGGTTGGTAACCTATTTATTAGGTAGACAGCGGTTAAAAAGGCATGGTCCCAAAATTTGAGAGGTAAAGAGGCATGACTCAAGAGGGTTAAACCAAGATCAACAACGTGTCTATGCTTCCTCTCCACTACACCATTTTGGTGATGAGTGTGAGGGCAAACTAGGCGATGAATAATGCCAAGATCAGAAAGAAACTTTGTAAATGGGCGAAATTCACCACCCCAATCAGTTTGGACAGATTTAATAGGAAATCCAAATTGTAATTCAGCCATGACTTTGAATTGTTTAAAGATAGTTAAGGCTTCAGATTTATTTTTGAGCAAATAGATCCAAGTAAATCTGGTGTATGCATCAACAAAGGTGATGTAGTAGGTAAAGTTTTGGGAGGATTTGACTGGGGCAGGACCCCATAGGTCACTGAAAATTAATTCAAGAGGAGAGTGATATTGAGTTTGTGACTGAGGGGAGTGCAGCCTATGTGCCTTTCCCATACAGCAGGCAGAACAAAAGATAGATTCAGCTTTATTAGAATAAGGAATATTACATTGAGCTAAAACAAGTCTCATAGTATTAGAATTTGGATGACCAAGGCGTAAATGCCAAGTATGTTGAGAATTATATGAGTTATTAGCTGATACATTTTGATTAGAAACTGAAACCCTATCACTAGTGCTGGAATCAGATCTTGAAACATGAGCATTAGAGTCTAAGGTGAGACATGAGACTTGACTTGTTGAAGGAGACTTAAGAAGCTGAAGATGGGAAAATTGGTACAGGCCATCACTTCCTACACGACCTTGGAGCAGAATTTCATTGGTAGCCTGAGATTTGACATAGCACATATCAGCATGAAACTCAAAGAAAACTCTATTATCAAGACAGAATTTGCTGACACTTATCAGGTTCTTTGTAATAGAAGGAACAAGCAGTAAATTATGAAGAGCTAATGGAGTGTTAGGTTTAGAATGAGAAGGAAAATAAGAAGAGCCTGAAGAGTGAATGTGCAAACCTTGACCGTTACCAATGAAGATCTGATCAGGACCTTCAAAAGGTGTGGTTTGCTGTATGTTTTGAGAGGCATTGGTAACATGATAAGAAGCTCCTGAGTCTGGGAACCAGGCACTGCTTGGAACTGAAGTTGTGTTAGCAATCATAGCATTGGGAGTGATATGTGACTGAGGAACAGGGAGAGGGGCAAGTCTTGGTTGATAGCTTGGGCGTGACCGAGTGTTAACCATGGGCTGAGCAAACTGAGGTCCACCAATTGGTTGATACGGATAGAAATTTTGTAGGTTCATTGTTTGAAAATCAGCAGGTATGTTAGGTTGAAATTGTTGATTGAACCTATGATAGCAGTTAGCAGCAAGATGACCATATTTGAAGCAAACTTGACATTGAATGTTGCTGAACCTACCTCTCCCACGGCCGCGTCCACCACCACGGCCAGCTGCACGGCCTCCTCTTGAATAGGTTGGATTAAAGGTTGAATTCACAGCTTGTTCATTGTTCTTGTTATTCGAGTTATCAGTTTCAGGTTGAGAATTGGCTTGAGTGAGATTCACTGAGGCAGCCACCTCCATTTGTGAGTGTTTCTTATACTTGTTGTATCTCATCTCATGAGCAAGAAGAAGAGCTTCAACTTCTTCAAGTTCTACTGAATCAAACTTGCTTTCAATAACTGAAATAACAGAGGCAAAGTCTTGAGGAAGACCTTCAAGAATCACATCAATGTGTTGCTGATCTGGAACTGGATCTCCTACTGAAGCAAGCGCGTCAACAAGAGCTTTGATGCGAACCAGATAATCACCAACAGATTTGTCTTCAAGTGTTGTAGATCTGAGTTCCGCTCGTAGTTGTCTTGCTTTCGCACGTGTAAGCTTTTGAAAATGCGCAAGAATACGTTCCCAGAGCTCGTAGGAATGAACGCATCCAAGAACACGTGAAAGAATTGAAGGTGAAAGCGTGGATTGAAGCCACGTCATAAGCCACTGATCTTGCGTAATCCAGGTGCGATACGCAGGGTTCTCACGAGCAGCGGCACGATCTTCATCAGTCAGGTATTGATTCGGTATGTCACGAAGGTAAAGGTAGTTTTGAAGATTGTTCGCGTTAACGAAAGGATCTACTTGTTGGCGCCAAAGTAGGAAATTCTTCTCATCAAGTTTTTCTGTGATTTTGAGTTGGAAGGACATAGATGTTGGGGTGGCCGGAGCTGTAGTTACTGGAATCGCTGCCATGGATAGAACCGAAGCTCTATGATACCATATTAGAGTGAGATATGAGAGAGAAGAGAGAAAAAGTTAAAAGAGAAAAGAGAGAAACAGATTCTGTTATTGCTTAATTGGAAAGGAGCATTATGCTCTATTTATACAAGAGGAGATGAACATTCAAGAGTTGAATCATTCAAGCTCTACAATTAAGGAAGACTTTTCTTATTCTATTAAATTAAGGCTGGACTTAATTATTCTATAGTGCTGATTATTCATATTCTAAGATATAACTCTAATACTCTCTATCCCAAAAAAATATGGAGTGTGAACAAAGGTTTATTTACACAAACTTAGAAAAATAATGAATGAATGAAATAATTTTAAAAAATAGTCCTTATTAACTAGTATTGAGTATTAGTCATTGTCATAAATGCATTTGGAGTGTAATGACTTGGAAATTGTGCACACAATATAAACACACATCCTCAATTAATGTTACAGTGAAAAAAATAGAACAGAAACTTATTCTAGTACGGAGGGAGTAGTAGACTAGTAGTAATAGTTGGATGCATTGTAGATTTAAAGGGTGGATGGAAAAATCCAATAAATTTAAAATGAAATTTGATACATTTAGAATTTTTATCATGTATCTATCCCAAAAGCTTACACTTTCAGGTGAAAGAACGTGAATAGTGGTTTTATATCAAACACACAGCCTCAAGCAAGAGCTCTTTGACCTTGAAACTGATAAAGTGCAGAGGCTAGCTAAGCTTGTGCTTAACTTCAAAGGACTTGGTCATAGAGGACAGAATATCATGTAGTGTATGAAATAACTCAAAAGTTTAAGCTACTAGGTGAAAGCAGATAAATGTTGTGTATTTAAGACCTTGGTTGTTGGCTGTTTTATTGAAATTTGATAGATTTTCATATAAATACAGTGAAACTTCTACTCATAACTATAATCTTTTTACTCCTCAAACATTACTAACCTCTGAACCAATTCTTGGAGTTGATCCACTTTGCGATCGGAGTCCTCAACTTTTTTAATCAGCTCCTTATTTCTAGCTTCAGCCTCCAGCTGAGCTTTTTTCGCCTCTTCTTTAACCTCTCTTTCCAATTGCAGTGAATCCTGTATCAGGTATTAAATAATGGGACTCAATAAGTGCTATGTTGCAATTTTATCATACACAACAATTAATGGTAGTTTCTTTTCTTAGACCCTATAAGACCGGGGATGTTGGACTGTAAAGAACCAACACGAAAGTAAGCAGAGATGAGATTAAATGACACAAACACGCCCTTCTATTTATTGATCAGACGCTCGCCACCTCTTAAGATAAACAAAAAAGATGATGAGTGTAATTTAACTAAACAAAAAGGTAATAAGTGTTTATTAAAAATAAAGGAGACATGCATATCTTTGGAGCAGGCCTGAAGAGAGGTAAGTGCAATTTCTCCAAAATATAATTAACAAAACAATATCTTCAAAAAGGTGTAATGAAATCCAAGGATGCCTTGAACATTAATTTGAGAATCAATCAGAGTCATAGTTAAAGGTTAAGAAACAAAAAAAAGGTACTAGCACTCTTTAGATTAAGTTGAAGAAAGCATGCATTTGCCCTTTTAAACGTTTTTTCCTACAAGAAACTTACAAATCACTTGTTAGAAAATGCAATAAATTATTAAAATTCTGGTGTATCGTTAATATAATCAAAGATTACCTTTAAACTATTGATTTCAGCCAATAAAGAATTAATCTTCTCAGTATCTTGAATTATAACGGGAGTCTCTTTAATAACTGGAGGTGCTTCTTTAATTGCTTTCTGTGCAGCTTCACGCTCTTTGATGACTCTGGCATTTGCTTCTTCAACTTGTATTTGCATTGCATTTAAAGTATCATGTAACTTAGTAACCTCTTGTGCTTTTTCCTCTTCCAAATCAGTCTATAATCAATTAAAATCTTATAAGTTTATGCAATTAAAAGTTGCAACAATAATGAAGTGTTATATTTGATAATGAAGTTACTCTCAAACGCTTCTCGAGTTGCAAACGCCAAGTAAGTTCTTCAACGCGCTTTTCTAGCTTGTCTTTGGCTTCTTTAAGAGCCCCTGTATCTCTTGCAGCCTGGATTGAATAAACAAATATCACTACGTTAGCAAATAAAGCAAAACGTAGTGCACTAATTACACAAGCATTGTGAAAGAAAGTGTCATCCAAACCATTTTAAGCATTCTGAGTTCCTTTCTAGCAACCCTGCTCCTCCAACCACACTGAGTAACAACCACAGCCTTTTGCAATTTTTTATAATATGAATATGTAACTTGCCGGCGAAAATGAGCCTGAAGAAACACACAGAAAAGATGTTATAGTAGGTAAAAAGATTGCATGATTTCCTCTTCTCAGTTTAACAGTCTAACTAAGAAGATCAACAAGAGCACCTGGATTTGAATTGCAGCCTTTGTTTGCTTTCTAAATTTAAATTCATCACGAGCCTTCATAGCCCTTAATCCTGTCTGCAATACAATTGCAGATGATCGTGCTTTACAATAAGATTTCCTGGCAATGTATCCTTTGAAGTTCTTTTCTATTTTCAAAGCTGCTGCCTCACGTCGCAATTGCTCGTAAAGCTTCCGGGCCAATATTCCTATTCGTTATTGAAAAGCATCACATGAAGGAAACTTGTATTTACAAATCAAACTATGAGAAGGAAACCTATTTTGTTAGAAAATCCAAACTAATTTAGTGCTGCGTGAATTCTAAAATACTGTGAATAAAAACATCAAACTAATTGGGGATAAAAATATCATATCATGGGCTTAATCAGCAATGAAAAAAGACTTTTATATTTCTTTTAAGCTCCAAAACTTTTCACATAAGGGAATATGCAACTATTTTTCTTTTTAGTAAAGATTAAGTTTATCTAAACATGCAGTTAAGATCATAAACCACTAAACAAGGTAGCAACAAAAATCAAGCATATACAGAGGAAACTGGGGATACCTCGCAAATTAGATTGCAAACTAATTGCAGCACGACGCAATCCAATGAATTCCTTGCGTGCAATATGGGTACGTGTTTGCCTCTGAATGACTCTAGCTGCATTTCCAAGGACCTCAGACCTTCTTGCATCCAACTCAGCCATCTGACCTGCTCTTAGGAAAACCTTTGTCTTGCCTATCTGGTAAACCATCAAAAACATTGTATGACTTCATTGTTTACAAAATCCATTCGTACAGATAGAATTCTGTATAGTTTACCAGGACACTAGGTGAAAATGGTACTGTAATAGTCATGTAATAAAATATTAAGCAAATTTTCAATGCAGAAGTTCAGGAGTCACCTGATAGCCTTTCATACCCATTTTACCCAGGATCATTTGACATGCAACCTGGTCATCGTAGCTGAAAAGGAACAAGAAAAAACAATTAACAAGTAAACAGGCACAAAATGCAAATGCAAACAGAAGAAGCCAATAGTTCTTCGATAAAATAATAACTGCTCTAGAAAATATAGAAATACGAGACATATAAGTTTGCATGAAAAATCAGAAAGTCATTTTCCTATTCAAATATAAAAACAGCCGAACAAGGAGACGAGCTTTACTTTCCATCCAGAACTTCAGGGGCAAGAACACCAAATCGGTTGAGAAATTCATAAAAGGTCCGTCTTGTAGGATATCCAGCACAGCTGATTCTAATTGCCTCTAGAACACCCTAAAGCAAATAAAAATGAGACAAACAATTGTCAAATATAAATATTTACATTACATGCTCAATTATGTAAAGTTAATGAAGACAAAGAAAGAGTGATATATACTCACACCACAACGTAATTGTTGGATAATGTTGAGATTTTCAAAAATAGCAGGCTTGAGAACATTATTTGGCTTCACGCATCTAATATAGTGAGGTTCTGTTGAACTTAGGGTCTCCATCAAAGACTGAAGTTGTGACTGCATTTTTAAGAAACGTGACATTTACTACTAGTAAAACATAAAAACAAAAACCCAAAAACTTGAGGTAAGAACTAGGAATGTCACAAAAACGGTATGATGATAAAATACAATAGAGCTCAGAAAGAGAGTGATATAAATTAATACCTTAAAGCGAGATCCAATTGAAGAAAATTTTGAAGATTTTGAAGACTCTTCTGGAGAGCGGGGGAATAGACCTGCTACAAAAGGGCATTTTGAGGCTATCATCAGATCCTGATGTTCAGCCACCACATAGTCCTTGTTTTTATCCAGAAACATATCAGCCTGATATGTCACCTAAACAAAGGAGAATAACTAGTCAAGAAGAAGGCAAACAAAATATTACAAGCAACAGTTTAATAAGTAAATAAAATAATAAATAAATTAAAGGTTGTGAAAGGAAACATGCAATAAAAAAGAAGAGCAAAGATACCTCCCCTGCATAATGAGATATTGTGAAATTAGTTCGAGAAAGTTTCGGTTTGATAAAGCGCTTGTTGTTCTTGAATGTCTGGTACAACTTCTGAGCAAATGTTTCATGTGTAGACTTAGGAAACATGCTGTTTCACACAACAAGGGTAACATGAGTCCAAGCAGAACTACGGAGTTCAAGTAATGCAAGATATTAAGTCTTGCATGTATCGTACTTACAAAATACTGGTAAAAGCATACAACCATAAATCTATGATAGTAAAAAATAAAGTAGCGTCAGAAAAGGCAATGCATCTAGCTTCTATATAACTAAAAGCAATACTAAATGAACAGTGAAATCGCTGACAGTTGCATACCAGGCTTCATCAAGAAGTGAAATTATTCCTCCAGGTTTCTGCAAAAGAATTAATACTAAAATCATTATTACCTGAATTTATTGTGTAGGAAATAGAGAAGGTGTACCAACAAGCAACAGTGAAATACCTTTTCAATTAGATCCAAAACATCTTGGTTGTCAACAAACTCTATGTAACTCCAATTAATTTCTTCTTTGGTGTATTCTTCTTGTTCCATTTTAAAGACATGCTGCAACCATTCAGTAAGAATAAACTCATTTATCTGGAAGAAAAATATTATATAATATAAATCATAAATTTTTCAAGAAACTACCATACCTGATTAAAATGTTGCTGTAGCTTCTCATTTGTAAAATTAATACAGAACTGCTCGAAACTAAGAAAGCAAATTTCATCAGATACAAGGCTAAATTCTGAAGTGTTAAATCATAAACGTTGGATGAAATGATTAGCTTACCTATTAAACTTAAAACTTTCAAACCCATATATATCTAGAACTCCAATGATAGATTTTGAATTTGGATCTTGCCCAATTGAATTGTTAATCTTCTCCACTAGCCTAGAACCAATGATGAGAATTTGTCAGAATATGAAACCTTGAAGAAAGGAAATTTATATTTAGAAAAATTATGATTCAATCACATAATTTGTTCCTGGAGACTACTGATAGGTACAGTAATTAAAGTTTGTTACTCTAATGTTGGAAGTTATTAGAGAGATAAGTACAAAATCAACGGATTATGTGTTATACAGCTCAGCATAATATTCATTGTAAATAATAATTAGTAATTAGCTATTAATAATTAGTAATTAGTTGTCTTCTACCATATTTAGAATTAGCATTTAAAGTGATTTGTCCCTTGTATTCTAAAAATACCTTTCATGTACTACTCACTGAAATATCAAAAAGAAATACAGATTGTTTGTTTCTTTATGGTATCAGAGCACCCAATTCTAGGGGCTCTGCTTCCGCGCTCAAAACACTAGCCATTCTTATTACAGCCCTTTTTCCTTGGTCAAGGTTCCCTTTCTCTTGGAACCCTAGTGATCTTGGTAACTTTGCAGCCGTCGTGCACCGCTCAACCGTCGTTGCAGAACCGGACGGTTTCACCTTCATTGTTGTTTTCAGGACAGCCTTCATTGTTGTACCTCTGTTTCTTGCTGTTTGCAACCCTTGATTGTTTGGTTGTCATATTTGTTGGAGTTTCTCATTGGCAGCCCTTTGATCCTCTCCTAACAGTAGATCTCGACTCTCCTGGCTCGAGATGGTTTGTTTCTCTTTATGGACTCCTTAAGTTCTCTAACACTAGTTCTCTGACCATGACTGGTAAGAACTCTAGCTTCTTAGCTTTTAATGCCTCTTGTTCTAAAGATATTTGAATTATTGACTCCGGTGCAACTGATCACATGATCCCATATATGTCATATCTCTCTTCTTATTCACCTTTATCTAATAAACGCCATATTACCGTTGCAAATGGGTCCCAAATCCTGATTGTCGGATCTGGTAACATCCGCCTAAGCCCATCTCTCCACCTAAATCATGTGCTTCATGTCCCTAACCTTTCTAACAATCTTTTGTCCATCCATAAACTCACTAAAGACTTGAATTGTGTTGTAACCTTTTTTCATTCTCATTGTGTTTTTCAGGACCTTGCCACAGAGAAGACGATTAGAATTGTTGAGGAACAGAACGGATTATATTGTCTGCCTCGTAAGGAAAGCAAGTGTCATCGGGCTGGTTTAGAGTCATGGGCAAATACTCAAATATGGCTCCAACAAAGGCGTCTTGGACATCCTCCTTTCCGCATGCTCAGGTCTCTATTCCCTCACCTATTTACCAAAGTGTCTGTTGATTCCTTTCATTGTGATGTGTGTCAGTTTGCCAAATCCCATCGAGCAACCTATTCCCCTAGTGATACTAGGAGTGTTGAACCCTTTGATCTTGTTCATTCTGATGTATGGGGGCCTTCATCCATTTCCAATATTTCTGGTGCAAAATGATATGTTACTTTTATTGATGATTGTACTCGGGTTATATGGGTTTTTCTTATGAAAGATAAGTCAGAAGTGTGTCAATTGTTTGTTAACTTTTTTCAAATGGTTAAAACACAGTTTAGGAAACCTATTAAAAGGTTATGGTCAGACAATGGTAAGGAGTATGTAAACTAAAATTTTCACTATTTTCTCAAAACTAATGGTGTTGTTCATGAGTTGAAAGATAAGTCTGAAGTGTGTCAATTGTTTGTTAACTTTTTTCAAATGGTTAAAACGCAGTTTGGGAAACCTATTAAAAGGTTACGGTCAGGCAATGGTAAGGAGCATGTAAACCAAAATTTTCACAATTTTCTCAAACTAATGGTGTTGTTCATGAGTTGACTTGTGTTGACACTCCACAACAAAATGGGGTTGCTGAAAGGAAAAATCGTCATCTTCTTGAAATCACCCGAGCATTACGCTTTCAAATGAATTTTCCTAAATTTTATTGGGGAGAAGTTGTCTTGACCTCTGCTTATTTAATCAATAGGTTACTTTCTAGGGCGTTATCTGGTGTTAGTCCTGTGCAGGTCCTGACTCGATTCTTTCCGTCCGTGCCCATTATGTCAAGTCTTCAGAATCGTGTCTTTGGTTGTTCTGCCTTTGTCCATGTTAATGGTCCTCATCGGGGTAAGTTAGATCCTCGGGCTATTAAATGTATCTTCATAGGATATGTTTCAGATAAGAAGGGGAACAAGTGTTATCATCCTCCTAGTCGTCGTGTCTATATCCATGGATGTTACTTTTCAGGAATCTGAGTCTTTTTATCCCAGTCCTTAGCTTCAGGGGGAGAATAACCAAGAAGCTGAGTCTTCAGAGTTGTTTGTTCTTCCTGTTATTTCTCTAATAATGGACCCAGAGCCATCTGTTGAGTTGTTTGTTATTCCTCTAATACAGGACTCAGAATCGTCTCCTGAGTTGTCTATTCTTCCTGTTGTTCCTGTAATACAAGAGCCCTTGATGCCTAATGAGGATGGTGATGATGTACCAATACTGGTGCATAATAATGTTGACAGATACAAGTTACAGTTCCAGCGAAAAAGGTGGAAAGGTAAACCCGTTCTGCCCCAACAAGTCCAATCGTCTGAACCTGAGGTAAGTGTTCCTAACTCTGAGCCTAGTAATTCTTGTGAGCCAAACCTTGATGACCTACCTATTGCTTTGAGACAAGAAAAAAGATCTTGTACCAAATACCCTATATCCCACTTTGTACTAAAAAGCTTTTTGTGCAGCATCAGAGTTTTATTTCAGCTATTGACTCTATTAGAGTCCTGCATCAATACAAGAAGCATTAAAGGATAAGAATTAGATTCAAGCCATGAATGAAGAGATGCATGCACTAGAGAAAAATGGGACTTGGGAGATTATTGAGAAGCCAAATGACAAGAGGCCAGTAGGCTGCAGTTGGATATATATGGTAAAATACCGATCCGACGGTACACTCGACAGATATAAGGCGAGGCTAGTTGCAAAGGGATACACCCAGACCTATGGAATTGATTATGAAGAGACATTTGCTCCAGTAGCAAAAATGAACACCATAAGAATCATTCTTTCCTTCGCAGGAAGTAATAAGGTTTACAGGTTAAAGAAGGCCATATATGGGCTCAAGCAATCACCCCGGGCTTGGTTTGGGAGGCTCACTCATGTTATGGTGTCCTTGGGTTATAAACAAAGCCAAGGTGATCATACTCTCTTTATAAAACATGATCAAAATGGTAAACTCACTCTTTTGTTAGTCTACGTAGACGATATGATCATAGCAGGTAATGATGAATTTGAGAAGAAGAACTTGAGGAAGAAGGACCTTGGAAAGTTGAAATATTTCCTAGGTATGAAGTAGCATACTCAAAACAAGGCATTTTCATTTCTCAGAGAAAATATGTCCTTGACCTTCTCAAAGAGACTGACAAGTTGGGTTGTATACTCACCAGAGTGCCTATAGAGCAAAACCACAAGATTGGGAGTGATGAGGAAAGCCCAAGGGTTGATAAAGCTCAATACCAGAGACTTGTGGGAAAGCTCATTTATCTATCTCACACCAGGCCTGATATAACTTATCTGGATAGTGTTGTCAGTCAATTCATACATGACCCACAGGAGAGGCACTTACACGCAGTGGATAGAATCTTGCAGTAACTAAAGATGAGCCCAGGAAGAGGACTACTATTCAAGAAAAGTGAGTCGTTGTCTATGGAGGTTTATACTGATGCAGATTATGTAGGGTCGATTGTTGATAGAAGATCCACCATTGGATATTGTATGTTCCTAGGTGGAAATTTAGAGATATGAAGGAGCAAGAAACAAAATGTAGTTGCCAGATCAAGTGCAGAGGCAGAGTTTAGAGTCATGGCTCAAGGAGCTTGTGAACTGTTGTGGATGAAGATCATTCTAGATGACTTGAAAACAAAGTATGAAGCTCCTATGAGACTTTTCTGCAATAATAAGTCTGTCATTAGTATTGCTCACAATCCGGTCCAACACGGCAGAACAAAGTATATAGAGATAGACCGACACTTCATCAAAGAGAAGTTGGATAGTGGTCTTATTTCTACACAGCACGTCCCATCAGGACTTCAGTTAGCTGATGTGCTCACGGCTCACCAAAGGACTTCCCTTGGAGCGGTTTCGAGATCTTACTTGCAAATTGGGGATGATAGATATCAATTCCCCAGCTTGAGGGTGAGCGTTGGAAGTTATTAGAGAGATAAGTACATAATCAACAGATTTTGTGTTATACAGCTCAGCATAATATCCATTGTAGATAATAATTAGTAATTAGCTATTAATAATTAGTAATTAGTTATCTTCTACCATATTTAGAATTAGCATTTAGAATTAGCATTTAAAGTGATAAGTCCCTTGTATTCTGTAAATACCTTTCATGTATTATTTACTGAAATATCAAAAAGAAATACAAATTGTTTGTTTCTTTACTCTATATCGTTGTATAGATGTTTTTGATAGTTTTTTCTTTCTTTGAACATATTGTTGCAATAAGATTACTTACAATATTAATAATAAAAGTAGTGATTAAGGTTTTACCAGTCAAACAAACGACAATAGATAGTTTTAGCTAATGCATCCCTGCTACCGAGAGCTGCAACGGGATCAAGTGTTCTTGTAATAACCTCCTCAGGAGTTACCATGACACGCTGAATCAGTGCATCTTCCAAGCTCTTAGCATCACACCTACAATTATTCCAAGGTAAAATATCCAGAATATCAAATAAATGATAATACAGTAATGCGCTGAAAGATTATGTTTGCCATACTTGAGAAGCTCAGCAGTCGTATTAAGATGAAACCTAGACTTCTCATCCTTGAGGACAGAAGAATCAATCTCCTCTCCTTTTGCAAATTCAATATTTCCAAGATGCAAAACTGCTGCTACAACCCTAAAAATTGCATCCTGAAATATAGGTCTATATCATTAAAACAAGATTAAAAAAAAGCTCATTTGGTTAAAGAAGGATTCAGGAAGAATAACCTGTTCCTCCTCGCTGATTCCAACAATATCCATTGCTCTTCGAGTTGCAAGATATTCTTCTGCATCGTCCACTCCATCCAGCCCATAGCATTTGGATTGGTTTAGGTAATGGAAGGAGCTAGCATTTCCCAGCTTATACTTTTCTTTTTCCTACAGAATAAAGAGTTATAATCAAGACATAAAATATTAATATAGAAGTCAATCTTTATGACAAAGATACAAGAGGATTTCACTATAACAACACAATGTTTTAACCTCAGCTGGTGCTGCACAAAGAAGGTAAAAACAATGGTAATTTCTTTCAGGATCTGAAACTTGACAAACACGGGACCTCTCAAGCAGATAAGTCCGTATAGCTGCCCCAGAAATTCTTCCCTTGTTGTCAAATTGTATCTCAACAAATTTACCAAAACGACTGCATCACAAAATCAATACAACATAAAATATACATTTTATATCAAATTTGAACAAGAAAACGTTTTTCTGTTGTGTAGTGATTAGAGCAACATGTTGCTGACAATCAGAACCTACAATTCTAAGAGTAATAGATTTTAACCAATGAATAACTGAACTAGTATGCCTCAAATCTTTTATGAAATAACAATGTCACAGACAATCAATTTGCCAAACCATTTTATGACAATTTTCATGCAGCAGTCAGCACTTACCTTGAATTATTGTTTCTCACTGTTTTGGCATTGCCAAATGCTTCAAGAACTGGATTAGACTGCAAAGTAATTAATATAGAAGCGAAAATGAGAAAACAGTTTCCACTTCTTTTAACATCCTACATATCTAACAAAATCTGAAATAAAGTGAAATAATATAACGGAACTGAAAGTCATAAAGTAGAATGCATAATAAAAAAAATGTGGCATACAAAACAAAACAAAAAAAAAAGGCTTGTACATCATACTTCTAAAACTTGTTGTTCAACTGTCCGCCCTTCTACTCCAGACCGGCCCCCAAGGTACGCAAGATATCGCATAAGCATTTTTGTTGTCTCTGTCTTTCCAGCCCCACTCTCACCACTAACCAGGATTGAGTTGCTTTTTCCCTCAACAATCATTGCCCTGACATAAATATGATCATAAACAAACTACACAAAAAGAATTTACGAAAAACAAAATTATATTGACATCTCTCACCTGTATGCAACATCTGCAACTGCAAAAACATGGGGACTCAACTCTCCAAATGCAGCTCCTTTGTATTGCTCCATCATGTGAGTATCATATAGATGTGGTAACCTTTGAAATGGGTTTATGGCAATCAGGATATTTCCAGTATATGTCTGCAATGATGATGGAGGAGTGGCGTGATTGTAGTATTCATAAGTTCTACTCTTACTCAAACAATCTTATTATGAAATGAAATAATAAATATTTTTTTACAATCTTACATAGATTTCGTTAAGTTCATATCTAGTTGCCAAGTTATTCAGAACTCCTGGCTCGTGCAAGTATGACAATTTTGTCATGTCGTCTACACCACCAGGTGGTGCTTCATTATCCTTGGGAATAACCTTAGAAATACTTGTAACGACCTGCAACCAGATTTCCCAAGTGTTAAAACTACAATTCTAGTCACTCTTGTTTAACTAGTGGTCAAAGCTGGAAAGTTGCGGAGGATATTAAATCGCATAATTGACACAACTTAACAAGATTGCATTGTAGTATAAGAAAAGTATTTTTGTAATTCCAAAAAGTGATTCATCCCTGCTAGAATCACAGAGAAGAACTAGAAAAACAGTTGCAATTTTGCATTAATCCAAAAACAATGTACAAAACAAAGAATCTGTGCAAACAATTTCTCACACAAAGTACAGACAGTTTGACTCACTGTTTTTCCATCTCCGGTGCGAACATGGACGTTTTCACCACTGATTTTAGTAACTTCACCTCCAATCCATGCTAGTGCTGGATCTTCAACCCAGACATGAGAACCAACAATAATGTTCACTGGTGCAGACTGCAAAAACATATTAAGCATTCAAAGGAAACAGGTGAGTTCATAGAAACACAACTGATATTCCAAAGAATCAATCACAACTTCACAAGGAATGCATTAATTTTGAAAATTAACATTTTAGATAGGTATTTAACAAAATATATCATCTGCTAAAACTTATTAAATTTCTCATTGGAATATAATTTAGTTTTCTACAGTAAGTAACTATAGCTACTAAAGCCCATATGTGTAATGTAATCAAGATGTTAATGAAAAATATAGGAATCGAATGCAAACACATATGCTTCTGCCACAAAATAGCATTATCAACCCTAAACATTTAGTTCACAGGAGTATGCACACCACTTAAACTTCATTTTTATTCAACAGAACGAAAAATAATTGATGAAGATAAAGAAAAAATCAAATCAAACAAAAATTTAAATCAATAGACAAGAATATAAAATAATAACCGTTAGTTCCATAGATAAATAATGGCAAATGATCAGGGTAAGCGATTACAAAATTTTGGAAATTATGTGCACAAATTACAAAACTGAGTGTGCTTTGGCTTTGTCATTATATATTGTGGTGACCAAAACATTGAACATCATAGAATGTGTTGCAAGTATACGTTTCAAACATAGAAGTGCTAGTGCTACAATCATTTACTTTTGATTTTCTCAACAATTATGTGCAAAGACAAGCAACAGAGTTGGTATTAACCAAAGTTATTGAGAATTTGTGATAGCCTTGTAATGTAGCTTGCAATATGCAGCTTTCACCTAGCATTTACAGTCAAATGCAAAAGAAAGAAAATCTGACTAAACTACATCTTACCAATATATTTACAACTTTTATAGTTTGAAACACCACCAATGATTCCATGAATTAACAATTTCATACAAATCTATACAACATTTGCAGCACACAACTGTATATCAATGTTCGTTTTAATTTGAGTGCAATCACTCTTTCCTTGATATCAAATCACCATTGTTATGTTTATTTATTAGAAAAAAAATTATTCCACGTCATTTGCAGAAACAGAATCCTCCCAAGTCCAAACTGTTTTCCACGATAACGTGCAAACCAACCCTTCTTTCTTATCGTGCAACAGACGTGATAATTAGTATTGAATCAAGGATAAGATTTGCCCGTACAAAAAGCAATTTGTAAATATGGCACTATTGTTAAGTTGCAAATGAATTTTCACTTTTTCCCTTTTACACTTTTTTTCTATTCTCACTAATTCTGTTTTTCTCTCTCTCTCTCTTCCTAGACATTCATCTCATAGAAAATACTCTCAATTATTTGAAATCAATACTAATTTTCTCCCCCTTTAACCAAACATTTAAAAATACCCAAGCTAATATAATTACAAGGGAAAATACATGCCAAATAAACTCAACTCATGTTTTTCTTAGACTATGTTTGGATATCATAAAATGAACAGAGTAGAATGTAACAGAGCCGAATGGAATGTAGCGGAATGAAATCAATACCGCTCTATTCCGTTCGGCTCCATCCGATTTTAAATGATCCAAACTACAGAATACCACTCCGTTTCATCCCATACTGCTTTGCTCCATCCGATTCCATCAATCCGGACAGAGCGTTAGGGAGCACTAGGGCTGGAAATGAGTCGAGTCGAGTTGAACTCGCCTCAGCTCAATTCGACTCGTTAAGAATTAGCCGAGTACGAGTTCGAGTTCATCGTGAACTTTTTTTTCAGCTCAAACTCGACTCGTTAAGAATTGGCCGAGTTTGAGTTCGAGTTCATCACGAACTTTTTTTCTAGCTCAAACTCGACTTGTTAGAACAATCTTATTTATCCTCATGGTATTCACAAGAATTATAGACAATATTTCTAGCTTTCATATAATATAAGTTTCATCTCAAAATAATATTTGTAATTCAAGATATTATCATCAAAAGTAGGTAGTATGAGCAAATAATAAAATGTTATAACTTAAATTTGTAACATATATTTTACTAGGTTGAATTTGGATTTTTTTTAATCAATAGAATTATAAATTATTTTATCATCTTTCAAATGATATAAATAAATATGAAAACTAAATATTGATGTCTTCATGAAACTTATATATCGAGTCAGCTCATGAACCAAACGAATCGATCTATACATAGCTCAAGTTCAAGTCATTTATTTTACGAACTTAATTTTGAGCTCAAATTCGACTCATTTAGTTCATGAACCAAGTCCAACGAATTAATTACCGAATCGAATCTCGAACTATTTTCGAATTGGTTCAGTTCATTACCAGCCCGACGGAGCAGTAAAACTCAATAATTAACTTCATCAAGTAGTATAGTATTTTCAAGCTTCTAAACCATCAAAAATCGATTCTATATACTACCAACCCAAAATTAACCCCAATCTTATCTATCACCGGCTCATATTCACCAAGCTTCATTTCACACAATCAATGCACGGATCGACTATCATAACTCTCATTTCGAAAACATAAAAAACAATCAAAATTCCTAATTAACATCCCCAAATATATGAGTCACATAGAGAAAAACTCCACAAAAAAAAATTATAAAAAAAAATTAAAAAAAATAAAATCGAAGTCAAACGGATTCAACGAAGAAGCTAATAAAGTCAAACAAAAATCAACGAAAATCAAAGACGTAACAGAAAGATGAATTTACCATAGCGATTAATGCGGAGCGATCTTAGAGAACAAACTCATCCGAGTGGAGCGGGAAAAAGTAACTCAGTGAGTCAGATCGGCGAATAGAGAACGATAGTTTGAAGTTTGAAAGAGAATTTAGAGAAAAAAGAAGCTAAAATTAGAAGCTGGAGAAAACGATAAAGAAGAAGAAGAAGAAAACAAAAGGTATCAAGCTTGTGTTGTGTGCTGGTTTTTGAGTTCTCTCAAACCTTTTTTGTTTTTGAAGAAACCGTTATTATTTTATTTTAATAGGAAATTATATAGAAAACCAAAACAGCTTTTATTTTTATTTCAGATGCTTTTATTTCTATCTCGGAGAGAGTTTTTTTTTTCAAATAATTTAGTAATTATAATTTATTTTTAAAAAATAAATAAAATGAAATGTTACGGATTCAAATTCATATATCTTGTATCAAATGTCTCTGCATAAAATATTAACTTAGCTGAATTAATGACATTCTGAAAATAGTTTTTTAGCGAGTTTTTCTTTTTTTTAATTTTTTATTTAATTTTTAAAATTAATTAATTATTGTTTTTACAAAATGAGGTTTCTTGTTTGCTGAGTGGTGAAGTGGGGTCCAGTGAGAAGGAAATGAATCAGATTGGCTGGCGTTTAACATTTTCGTGGTGTGCACAACATAAACATAACGTTTCTTTGTTTTTGTTTTTGTTTTTGTTTTTTTTTTGTTTTTTATCTTATGGCTTTAGAACCAATTTTACACGCATAATATAAAAATAAAAGTTAATAATGGACGACAAAATTATTAATTTCGATTTACTTAATACTTTAGGGCATGTATTTGATGATATTTTCGAAACTACCATTCATTGGTTTTTTGTCGTTGTTTAAATTTTTTGAGTTTAATCTAAGGTAAAGTAAAGTGTAACCGTTATTAGAGTATTAACATTTGGATAATTACGGTTCAGATTTGGTTTTTATTTAGGGTGGGATACGTAATATGCCCTTTATGAAAAAATAATACTTTGATGATGAAAAGTATATTTTGGTTATTTGATAAAAAAAAGTAATGAATTGTGGATAAAAACTAAGAGATAGATGATGAGTTTATAGCTAATAATAGTAATAATAATAAATAAGTTAGTATATTAGATTTGAAAGGTCTAATAAAACTAGTAGTTGAATTAACTAATAAATATAAAAAATCTTTGAAATATGTAATTAATATATATGAATTTTTAATAAAGTATCAAAAATAGAGAAATATGAGTTTAAGACGGATATTTTTGTAGTGTTTTCTTCTTTTGTTTTGATTGTTTTTGTAAGTTTCTTAGTTATAAGGATCGGTATTAATTTTTGGTAAAACAAATATAGCACTAATATGTTAGATATGATGTTTTAACTTGTTAACAGGAACAGGTTGAGCAAGAAGTTATACCTTATGTTAGGACATGTTGAGTTGAAGTATTTCAACATCTGGAACAACATGTCGGATGATATGTCCTATGAGGAAGCATACGATATTGCGTCTGAGCTAAATTTGATTGTTATATTATGTTAAGTCACAATAACAGAATATACTTTGAGGATAATAAAGTATTTATATTATCCTATATGGCATTGTTTTGTAGGTTAAGAAGAATATTGAAGAATATTAAAGAATGTTGGCTTTCTAAATATGGAGATAATTTAGGAAGATTTGATTGAAGACATATTTTATAGCAAAATTTTCTACTGTTTGTAACAGTTAAAGAGTTATCATTTGAAGGCCTAAATCCAGTTGGATATAGGTTATAAATAGAAGTTTTGTAACCTAGGATTGGTACCATCCGAGAATTGTAAAGATGTAATCATTAGGGTTGAGTCTGTTAGCCACTCTCTATGAGAGTTGGTATGTATGAACCACTCGAGTTGTGAGATGGTAATTGTATTCTCACTCAGAAGTCGTGAGTAATGAGTTGATTATTGTTCTTGAAGGAAGCTTTGAAGCAACTATAAGTTGTGTTCTTAGTCAAGAGTCTTGGCTAGAGAATTGCCATGGAAATGTGTCTTCGTGTTTGTTTAGAATTGTTGTTGTCCAATCGTTGTCTATGATTGAAGAGAGATTAAAGAGGGCCTCATATTTAGGTGAGTCTTAGATATAAATCTATAAAGGATAGTGATTAAGTGATTAGGCCGTAAATGGGAGGTTTGTTGTAGGGTCTATGAATTGATAATATTTGACTAGATTTGTCCCTGACTTGATATGCCCCCGGAGTATGAGAGTTGCTCCGAACTGGGTTAACAATTATGGTGTGTTGTTTATACTTTTCAGTACTGTTTGTTTATTGTTGATACTTGTCCTGTTTGTTTATGTCACATCAGATGTTCCAACATGTCATAGGACATTTGAGTTCTGTCATACCAGAATTTTAATTGGTATCAGAGTGGACATCCTGTCTGTTTCTGGATGAGATCCATATGGGATACTTTCTGGTGTATGTGTAAGGTAGAAGGTTCTACTGAAAAATTGTTTGAACTTAGAGAATTCATATTGGTGTTTGAACGTTCCCTAGAAGTGGAGGATAGATTGTTCATGCCAGGTGTGTATTGGACATGTCTGTGTTGTTTTCAGGCGTGTAGCTTTGATGACAAGCTACTGTAATTTGGTTTAATTTTTTTCAAACCTATGTTGACCTGATGCACTTGATGTGTGGAGTTTGTGTGTAAGGGTTTGTTGTGCCTGAAAGATGTTGAGGAGATGTTGTTTGTTCCGCTAGTATCTGTTGTAACCCTAGTTGACATGGCATTAGGGTTTGGTCTCCTCAACAAGTTTGGTGTGTGATGTTGTAGTGTGTGCAAGACTGTTTCAACTATTTGTGTAAATTGGCCAACTATACTTGAGCTTTATATCTCAAGTTCACTCATAAAGGCACTTTTGATGAGCTTGTTGAAGAAAAGACACAACCATTTATTTTGGTTTCTAAAAGAGTCTTCCTAATTCTTAACCTAATTAGGAAAGTGACTTTGAGTCTTGCAGTTGTTGGTGTTGTTGGAGCTTGGACTATTTTTGGAGGACCTTGAAGGTTGTTGTACCCCAAAATATGCCCTCCCATTTTCTTCAAGACATTCTCATGAGGTCCCCATTTGCTCAAAACTACTCAAGAGTTGACTGGTCAAAACCACATCCTAAGCAAGGGTCTTCAACTAGGATTTGGTGCTTCTCAAAGAAAATTGGTCTGCAAGGGTCTCAATTGACTTTCGTGGTTCATCCTAGGTCCTCAATAATGCTTATGTCAAGTTTCAAGTCTTGCATCACATGTTTGCTCAGTCAATGACTCGAGATTGAAAATCAACTATATTGAGTAAAAAGTAAACTATGGTCAACATACAGTCAAATTTTAAGATTTTTTGTCAACATTAACATTTTGAGGTGATATTAATCATTTGATCAAGGGGTTGATCATGATTCCTCAAGGAAAGTCCACAAATCATCAAATGTCAAAATTTGCCAAAATTATGGTTTTTATTGAAGATGACTGATCATTGACTTTTGGACTAGTGCATGACCTAATGACTTAAAGTATGATCTTAAGGACTCAAATACAACATCTTGACCTAATTACATGGCTCAAGACATTTCCATAAATGCAAGTGATTGACAGTTGAAAAATTGAATCAATTAATAAAAGTCAACAGTCACACAAAAGTCAAACTTTGACTTTTTGATCAATATTGGAATTCAAAAATCAAAAATTATCAAAACATTCAAAACTATCAAACTTTGTCATCAAGAATCAAGAAATTTAACAAAAGTTAAAATTGAAGATTTTCAAACACTTAGAAAAATTCAAGTTTTTATGCCTAAAAAATCCTAACTTCACAAGCAAGTTTCCTCAAGATACAAGTTGATTCAAGGAAAACTTTTAACATAAAGTTGTAGGGATTAATGAATTCTACAACTTTGTTAATGTGGGATGATCCTCAAAATGTGTTTGGATTAAGAGATATGGGCCCATGAAGTTCTGATTATTTTTACCCAACACTTAGAAAAAAATTCTAAGTGTTTTGTTCTTAACAAAGTCGCTACTTTATGACCATTTTTCACTAAGATTCAAATTGATTCAGTAAAAACTCACAATATGAAAGTTATAGATCTTGATTCAAGCTTTCCAAAATATCCAAGAGCATGAAAAGATCATACTTGAGTTGAGAGATTCGAAGAGATGAAGTTGGCATGCCATACTTGAATTATAGGTTATTTCCTTTGAAAACCTTATGGCCAAATCTCACACCTTACCATTCAATCTCACTTTTCAGGCCATGTTACTTCTGAATCTCCATATAATCTTAGATTTACACAAGATTATGGTGCATTACACGAGGATTTGAAGCTTTATCCACTTGATCATACAATTTTTTGATGAAATTGCAAAAAGCTCCATATCCGTCTGCATAAAGATCACTTTAATCACAAATTCCACTCCTTGAGCCTCTAACTTATTTCTTCTGATCACACTCAACATGAATGATCATAAGCAACAAATCTAAGCCTACCAACCACCCTACAATGCATTGGAACCATGTTCTTCAAGGTTACTTCAAAACTAAGCTTCCAAACCATAACTTGTTATCTCAAGATTCTGGTTACTTCAAACTCTCAAACCTCTTGCCTATAAATAGCATGGTTATTTGCAAGCCAATACATGAATGGACAGCTTCAAAAACATCCTCAAATTATCTCAAACTCAAAATCACTAAGAAACCACCATTGTTGTATATTCAAAGCTTCCAATGCCAAACTCTCAATTCACTCGTGCGTTTTCCCTTTTTAACATTAAAACATCATTTATACATCATATAGAAGCCATTCAAACCCCTGTTATACTTCTGTAACACCACCTTCATCATCCTCTAAACTCCATATCTGAAGCTTGCACATTGACTTGGTTGGATTGATTCAGCAACTTTCAAAGGAAATTAGTTATCCTATTAGCTCAAGGAAGGTCCCATCAAGCTTAATCCATCATCACATTGCTTCT